CTTGTGGACTGGATGCTCCAGAGAGGACAGAAGGCTCTCCTCTTCTCAAGTTCTTCCCTTTGCCCTGGCTCCTTTTCCCGTCCCACCTAGGCTGGCCACAAGGATGGACTCTTAAAGCCCATTTTGTTCCAGATAATGTCTCTGCCCTGTGCATGGGGCTCCTGCACAGGGGGACAGGGTGGACAGACCTGGGGCTCTCCTGGGCTGGAGAGAGCAGCCCCTCAACCTTGGTCTTTGGGCCTGGCCTTCTTTTCCTAATGAGCCAGCTCACCCTGACAGTCCCAACCCCCAACGCAGACTAAACCTAGCCCTGGCCCTGTGCTGACCCCAAATCTGGACTCACAGTGACCCTGACCTGGCCATATACTGGTCCTTAATTCTGAGCTCAGACTAGCCCCAGCCCCTAACCCTGACTCTGTCCCCTAAACTTCCTTTCTCTGGGCAGCAGTCTTCTTTGATCTCTGCTAATGCCACGTGGGTTTGCGAGGTTCACAGCACGCTTTTTAAATTCATGAATTAGCCATTTCTCACAGCTCACTCTTCAGTGTTCTAGGGCACGTGGGGACACACCCAGATCCAGTGAATTGGAATCTGGGGTGAAGGAGGAGCAATGGGAAAGGCCTTTTTTTTTAAACTGCCCAGGTGGATTCTGACATAGGACAGCCCCACCCACTTCATAATACACACACTTGGGCTTTCCTTTAGGGATTCCAAGGAGGAATCCAAGGTGGGTTTGGACCCCCACATAGGGATGCCTGGGCTGGTGGGAGTTAGTCTGCAGAGACCTGACTCCCAGGCACCATCAACACACCTGAGCCATTTCAAATGCTTCACTGTACACCTGGCAGTGAGCCACTCCAGCATTCACCGGCTCACTTGCTTGCTCACTCTCTTCACTCACTCATTCATTCATTCATTCCTCACTCTAAAGGGCCTCACTGGGTTAGGTCTGGGTAAGGTCTGTAGAATACACACAGCTTTTTTTTTTTTTTAAAGATTTTATTTATTTATTTGACAGAGAGAGACACAGCAAGAGAGGGAACACAAGCAGGGGGAGTGGGGGAGGGAGAAGCAGGCCTCCCACGGAGTAGGGAGCCCGATGCGGGGCTTGATCCCAGGACCCTGAGATCATGACCTGAGCCGAAGACAGATGTTTAATGACTGAGCCACCCGGGTGCCCCTTACACGCAGCCTTTTGAGACTGATCCCTGGGGTCAAGCTAGGGTTTGGAAGGGCAGGGTGGGGGCAGGAAAGGCCTCTGCAGCAGTGGGACAAAGACCTGAACCAGAGTATGGGCCAGATAGATTCCTGCAGCTCTAAGAGGAGACACCAGGTCTGGGGAGTGGGAGACAGGCCCCTCTCTTCCCTTGCCCTTGGGTTGGGGACAGGGGACATGGGCCCGAGGGCTAAGAGACCACCGGGTAGCTTCCAGGTTAGTCAACTGAGGAATCATGCTGAGTCTCTGGGGTCAGCTGGTGGGTGGGCCTGAGACGTGGATCTCCCAAAGAAAAAGAAGGAACTTCCTTCTCCCTCCCTTTCTCCCTGCCTCCTTTTCCCCAACCTCTCCCTGAAAATAGAAATCCAGGGCTCTCTCAATTCACAGTAAGGGCCATTAGGGCCGAAGGGGAGTGCATGATGGATAAAATGTGGGGGAAAAGGGTGAGGTAAGGAAGTCTTGCTGGGAAGAACAATCATTCTAGGGTGAGAATGGGGAGGTGGGCCCTACTTTAAAAGTCTGAGGGAACATCCAGCTTCAACCCTGCCTCCCAGCCCTGCAGGTGGAAGAGCTCAGGACTGGGCTGGGGGAGCAAGAATGGCTCCTCAGCCACCCTTTCACCCTCCCCCCAGCTGGTCTCGGGGGCTCAGAGTGTATCCTCAGCTACCTTCCCAGCCTGCTGCGTAGTGGCTCTTCCCTGAAACCCCGGGTGGCAGAGATGCTGTGGGAGCTGGAGAGGTGTCACCCTGTGGGATCTCCACTCCAGGGCCTGGAAGTGCTCTCCACCCACCTCTCTGTCACCACACAGGATCCCGATGGTGAAGGAACATGCCGGCCACCCTGGTAAGCGGGGGTGTGTACCCGTGTACGTGAGTGTGAATTACGGCAAACACACGTTGGCATAGGAGGCCATGTTCTGTGGGGAGAGACTGTGGGTGAAAGAGACCAGAGGCAGTATCCCAGAGCCCAGCCCCTAAAGTGAGACATGGGGAGATGCTCGGATGGCGCATGTTCCCCGTTTTGGTTCTGAGTGGGAGGTAGGAGCCACCAGGCACCTCCAGGCTTGGCTAACAGTGGACTCAGGCAACAGCCTGCATTGTATTAAGGGGATGAAGGACAAGAATTGGGGGGGGGGGCGGTTCGGGAGGATGCTCCTGAACAGTCTAGTCCCAGCTGGTCATGTTCATGGACAGAGGTGCTGGATGTCCCTGGGGTGGGCCTGGAATATTCCCCTCCCCTGCTCCTTACAGGCCAGCTGCTGGCCTCCAGCTCAGGGTATTAAACACAAAACCAAAAAACTGCCCAACTCGCTCTCATCAAAGACAAAGAGAAACCTTGTTTGTCTTTTGGCTAATCTGAGGCCCTGCTCGACCCTGCAGCTGGACTCTGGGCATGTGCAGGCATGTATTGTGTATGTGCTCGCGTGTGTTCATGTGTGTGGTGGCCAACGCCGGGCCGTGCACCCTGGGAACACAGATGGTTAGCAAGAAAATCTCCCTGCCCCAGTGGTAGGGGACCTGGGGAGGCTGAGTCGCGGCCAAGGAGCAAGGTCTGGGAAATCCTTGTGGCCCAAGCCCAGGGGTCACTAAGGAGGCCTTGGGCCTGTCAGGGAGAGTAATCCCAGCCCTTTGGTCCTCCCCAGCTCCCTGAGGAGCTCCTGAGGGTTCTCAATCCTAGAGTGCAGAGAGAAAAAAAAGACAGGGGTTGTTTCCATGGCTCTTAAATCCCTGGGCTCAGGAGAGGACAGGTGTCAGGCATGGGAGGGCCTCGCCACCTGGTGGGGACATGTGGTACTCCTCACTAAGTCCTGGCCAACCAGCCTGGTGGGGAGAGGAAAACAATCCCGACCAGCCAGCCTGGGGTTGTGCTGGCTCAGACTTCTCTCACACTCCTGCTGGGGCAGGAGGCCGGGTGAGGAAATCCACCTAACACTCACCAGACACAAGGGGCAGCCCCCCTGGCCCAGCCCCACCTGCGGGAAGGAATCTCAGAGCTCCTCTAAGTTCTAAGGAAACTGAGCCCAGAGGGAGGAGGGCCCTGTGCAAGACCCCACAACATCTCTGTTACAGAGGGAAGTGGGACCAAGGGTTCCCAACTTCGAGGCTCATGCATTGTCCTGTGGGTCTGGTGAATCCAGAACAATCTGTCCAGACTGAACTCCAGCCGCCCTGAGGCCTCAAGTACGAGTGGTAGAGTGAAGAGTTCTTGCTGTAGGTCAGCAAGGGGGGAGGGCATCTGGGCTGCAAGTGGGGCTCCAGGTTGATCTGGATCCTGATAGTAAAAGGCAATAATATCTGAATCTCTGGGCACCTACTGCAATACTAGGACTGTGCTAAACATTTACAAACATTTGGTCACTTAATGCCCCCAATGACCCTTAGAGGGAGGTTCCATTTTTCAGATAAGGAAACCGAAACACAGAGAAGCAATTTACGCTGGGTTACAAGCTGGCAAGTGGCAGAGCCGGGATATGAGTGCAGTGCTTCTGACTCCGTGAGGGCAAATGCTCTGCTGGGTAACGAAAGAGCATGAATTACTCGCTCCTTCCTGGGGGCAGCTCCAACCCAGAGCCTGCCTCCGGAGCTGAGCAGCCCCGGGTTCTCCCAGAGGAACAGCCTCAGTGCGCCCTCTGCTGTGCATGAGAAGGAACAAAGAGTTCCCTCCTACAGGCTCAGATGCAGGGCTGAGTCCAGGGGAGTTGGCTAGCAGGCACCATGGTCTCTCCTCCTAAATAAGGCGCAGGGGCAAAGGGCCGGTTGACTAGCTGCAGACCACCACCACTGTGGAGCTCCCAGCTCTGCCGAATCTGCCGACAGCAGAAGGATGAGTTTGTTTACATATCTCGATTCTTGGGGCTTCCTTCTCTTGGAATATTGCCCACCTCCCCCAAAGGCATGTTGGTCCTAAGCCCACCCCACTGAGGACCAGGACCATGTGCCACATGGACTTTATCAGGAGGGCCCATGACAGACAGCCCCTTGAGGAGAAGCATCCGGAACACTGCCATGTGGGCAAAGGGTAGAATTGGGAATCCAAGAGGGCCAGGGAGGCTGGGAGTCAGGCCCTGAAGCCTAAATACTCTTTGAATAGGTCAAGGATGGGGAAAGGGTAATAAAGACTGGGGTCAGCATAGGCATCTGGAGGAACAGGCAGCTGGGTATGTCCATCTTGGCCAACTCTGAACCCGAGCTTGCCACTGGGTAGGGCTCTGTGAGAAAAGGCAGACAATCCCAAGATAACACCCCTGGAAATAAGGGTAACTCCCCAAGTTTGGGTTAATTGCATTAAGGAACACCTCTGGACCCAGCGAGTCAGGAGTCATGGGCCCTGTGTCAGAGAAGGCAGGGGTGAATAAAGGACAATCTACATTTTATTTGTATCTGCTTTTTATTTGTACATAAATTCTCAAGGGCCCCTCCCCCCCATCTGGGGGACAGATGGTAGGTTCCGGAGGGAGGAGGCATCTGAATAAGGACACGAAGTTCAATGCAGGGTCCTGCCACCATGAGCATGGGGCATCCTTGTGTGCCAAACTTGCACTGTCCTCCCTCCCCTGTGGGCTGTGAATCTACATGGGCCCTCCTGTTTGACATTAGCTCAGCCAGGGACTGGCCATGAGAGCCCCCAACCTCTTCTCTTCAGGGTTGCAGCTTCTTGTTCTGATTATCCCATCCCTAAAATTCTATTTCTGGGGAGACAGAATACCAACAGCCATAACTCCTCTCTTCCAAGTTCCCCCTAACTCAGGGCAGTCAACAGACTCCTGAGAACTGGGATTCCAGTGACCCGAGGCCCTCGCTGCCGGCTGGTTCTGAGGGCAGGACAGTAGGTATGAGTGCTTATCTGGGTAAGGCAAGGTTGGCAGTGCCCCTGTGGCAGAATGGGGGGTGGCACAGGGCTCCTGGGTGTGCCTGAGAGAGGGGGGAAGAAAGCCCCAGAAAGCCAAGGACACTGGCTTAATTATCATAGAAGTCAACATGGGCTCCAGACTTGAACGTGTCCTTTTGCACCAAGCTTAGCAGTTTCTGGGCTGACATCTTACAATCCACAAGCTCCCCTTTTGTCTTCAGGTCCTGCAGCCTTTTTCGTAACTCTGGGTCCATCGAGGTCTCCCGGGCCAACTGCTGCATGTCTGTGTCCAGGGGACCTAGGGCATGAAGAGCTGAAGTTGAGGGGACATGGGCCAAGGCAGGGCCCCTGATGTGTGTGTGGAGTATGGTGGAGGCAGGTCTGGCCACTGGCAATACCTCACTCTGGCTGACAAGTGTGGTCAGGGTCATTCCGTCACTTTTGAGCTCCAGATTCAAATCCTGATGCCCCAGTGAACATGGTATCTGCAGACCACTGTATCTAGAACCAAGCTTTTCACCTCCTGTCCAACTGGTACCTCCTCCTCCTGACTTTTCCATTTCTATTAATGAAATACTCTTCTCCCAAACTCAAAACTTCCATCCCCGGCTCTTCCCTCTCCACTCTGTTCCCACAACCAACGAGTTATCAAGTAGGACGGACCTTTCTGCTTCTACATACCCTGACAATCCGGCCCTTTATACAGCCCTGGCTCTCTCTCTGCTTCAGCTCCTTCTGTAGCCCTCTGCTAAATGCATCTTGCTAAAATATCATTGGGGTCGGCAAAGGGGTGGCATAGGAGTTTCTAGCACTTTTCTGCAGAAATATCAATATGAACTATTAGCTGCCCACGAAATTACCTTCACAAAAGCCAAGGATTCCGGGTAAGGGATTACACTACCTGGGTGAAGCACAGAAATAAGAAAGGATGCATTGAGGAAGGTAGGAAATATAGATGTGTATTACATTTATCATCTGCCCCCAAGCCTGGGCATCCCAGTGTAGAGACACCCTCCCCGTGGGAGGAGAGTGAAGTAAGCACCCGACTTCATAGGGGATCCCAGAGCCAGCCCACCCTAGCACCAGGCCAACTCCCATGGCCCTAGGTGTCTCCTCTGGGCCCCCATGAACCCAGGCCCCCAGCTAACCCCACTGCCTGCCAGATCCAGTGCCTCAGCAGCCCGAGGCAGCTCCTATGGCACAGGTTCCCACAAACCTAGGCCCCAGGGTCACTCTCATGCCTGCTGGTTCCAGCCAGCTCCAAGCTCCCAGAAAGCCCCCAAAACCCAGGCCCCCAATCCATTCCAGTATCAGCTGGCCCTTGTGGCCTGGGGTTGCTCGCATGGCATCAGGCTCCTGACAAGCTCCCATGAACATAGGTACCTGGCACATTCCAGCCAGCTCCTGTGGCCCTAGATGCCTCCAAGTTTGCAATCAGTGCCTGTAAACCCAGGCTCCCCGCCAGGCCCAGCACCAGACTCACTACCATGGACCCAGGCTTTCAACCCACCCCAGCAACAGGCTGTCCATAGACTCCTGCAGCAAGCCTGCTACAGACATCACCAGATGGTTCACCCAGAATCACTGCATGGGTTGACTGGTAAAGGGCTTTGCCTACTGAAGTCAGCCTGTAAAGACTGGGAGAGGTGCCTCCTTCCTCCATGCACAGACACCAACAGGGGGCCACAAGGATCATGAATAATCAAGGACATGTGACACCACCAAAGGAAACCTATAAAACTCCAATGACTGACCCTAAAGAAATAAGATCTATGAATAATTCAAAATAATCCTCTTAAAGAAATTCAGTGAACTACAAGAAAATGCAGATAGATGGGGTGCCCATGTGGCTCAGTTGGTTAAGCATCTGACTCCGGGTTTCAGCTCAGGTCAGGATCTCAGGGTCATGGGATTGAGCCCCACATCGGGCTCTGTGCTCAGCGTGGAGTCGGCTTGAGATTCCCTCCCTTTCCCTCTCTCTCCCCCTCTGCCCTTTTCCCCTTCTCCCCACTCACATGTGCTCTCTCTCTCTAAAATAAATAAAATCTTAAAACAAGAAAGAAAATGCAGATAGACAACTAAATGAAATTAGGAAAACAATGCATGAACAGAATGAGAAGTTCAACAAATAGAAACCACTTTAAAAAAAACGCAACAAACCGAAATCCTAGACTTGAAGAATAAAATGACTAAACTAAAGAATTCAAGAGAAGTCAACAGCAGACTCAACCAAACAGAAGAGAGAAATGAGTGAATCAGAAGACAGGTCATTAGAAATCATCTAGTCAGAAGAGCAAAAAGAAAAAAGAACAAAAAAGACTAAAGATGATTTGAGGGATACCATCAGAAGAGACAATCTATACATTATTGGAACCCCAGAGAAATAATGGCTGAGAACTTCCCAAATCTGCAGAAAGATTTGTATATCCAAGCTCATGGAGCTAACAGGTCTTGGCAAAATTTCAACCCGTTATCTTCTTCAAGACACCAGGCCTATGAGATTTCACTGGTAAACTGTGTGTTTTCATTACTATTCCTTTGTGATGTAGTTTGAAATCAGGGAGTGTGATGCTTCCAGGTTTGTTTTCCTTTCTCAAGATTGCTTTGGTTATTTGGGATCTTTTGAGGTTTCATACAAATTTTAGGATTGTTTGTTCCATTTCTATGAAAAATGCCATTGGAGTTTTGATAGGGATTGCATTGAATCTATAGATAGATTTGAGTAGTATGGACATTTCAGCGAACCAAGTGTCACAAGACCCCTTACTGTTTAACTTTTGTGAAGACAGGGCCCTCTCTTATTTATCCCAGCATCCCCACAGTGTTCTGGCACAACTTAGCCTGGGGTGGCCAGCACTTCACAATGTCTCTCTGCTCTTCCTTCAACTAACATTTACTGAAGACTGACCAAGTGAGGTGCTTCGCTAAGTGCTGGGGACATACCGGTGCACAGTGCAAAGTTCCTGCCTTCAAGGTTTTCCTATCAGGAGAAAGAAATATAGAGTTGAAGAGGATACAGTGTGGTAAGTTCTATCTAACATTAAGAAGTGCTAGCAGTCAGATAGCACTTCACAGCTAGGGATCATTTTCATGTATATTACCTCATTCGGTCCTCCAAACTGCACTGTAGACAGGTAGCATCTTCCCTGTTTCACATAAGGAAATATGGTACAGGCCTGAAATTCAAACCCTCTCAACTCTAGTATCTCAGACTTTCTGGCCCCAGTCTCTCCCCTTATCTTCTAACTACACTCCCTATCCCAGGCAGCTCTAACTTCTGGAGCCTGTATTTCCCTAAAGGAGTGATGGTTAATGATTGAGGGACAATAAACTCTGTGGCTTCTTTCTTGGAGGGGACAGACTAGGCCCTTTCCCCACCCCCAGAGGGGAACCAGCCAGTTCTGGGGGACAGGGATGGTAGTAAAGTCCCACCTACCTGGGGCATAGCTCAGCACCCTGACACTAGGTTCCTCTGCGGCTAGAACCTGGAACAGCATGTCACGGGCAGCCTTCCCCGCACAGTACAATCCCCAGCCCTTGAAGGGCTGCAGAGCACAGACGGACGAGATGTTAACCACAGTCCTGCTGAGGCCAGGACTGTCTGGAAAGGCCTTCAGGATGCTAGAAGTCAGACAGAGCATGGAGGTCAAGTTGAGAGCCCAGTAGTTGTTCACTTCAGCTGGGTCGGCCAGGTCCACGAAACCTTTGGACACGTCCCCAAGAGTGCCTGAAAAACCAGACCTGAAGAATCACTCTGTGCAGATGGGTTTCCTCTTCCCCCAGCCCTCTCCAATTTCTAGACACCCCCTTCCCATCCAAACCTAGAGGAGTCTCCCTAGCGCTTCTGAAGACGCCTCCCTCTTCCCAGCTCTGCAGACAGACAGACACACCTGGGGTTGTTCACTCAACCCAAGTTGCAAACTGAAAGTGTGCATGTCCCGCTCTGGGCCTGGGGGGAGAACGCAGGAGGCCATTTGGAAAAGACAGTATTTACTTTTGCTGGAAGACCTCAGGCCTCCGCCAGAGGGCGCGGAGCTAGGCGATCGGGAAAGTTCTACAGGTATTTTGGAAAATTTGCCCAGAAATGGGGGGGGTAGGGGGTAGGGGAAGAATGAGCCGCACCGATGGCAGCGAGTCTCCCTCCATACCTTGCTGAAACAGCTCGGATTTTCAGGCATCTTTTCTGACTCCTAAGAGTCACCTTTAAAGTTCCTAGGGGTGGGGAAAGTGAGAAGGAGGACGAAGAGCTAGGGGCGCTAAGCAGTATTCCTAGGGATCCCACGGGGAGTCCGCCGCCGCCGGCGGGCGCCTTACCCGCATTGTTGATGAGCAGCACCCGCTGCAAGCCCTCGGGCCTGGGGAGCTCGCGCAGGGCCCCGAGCAGCTGCTGCAAACCGGCCTCGACGCCCAAGTCGGCGGGCACCCGCACCACGCGCAGGCCGGGCCGCCCGGCGTCCAGCTCCGCCTCCAGCTGCCGCAGCGCCTCGTCGTTGCGGGCGCTTAGGACCAGCACGGAGCCGGGCGACAGTAGCCGGGCCAGGAGCGGAGCCAAGGCCCGGCCGAAGCCACGGGAGGCCCCGGTCAGCACGCACACGGCGCGTCCCAGGCCGCCGTCCCTGTCCCTGCCACCCTGCATGCCGGCGACCCGCAACGGCTCGCGCGGAGACCCGGGACTGGCGCGGGGCGGGGCGGCCGCCGTTGGAATAGGCGGAGGCCCGGCCGGAGGGGGCGGAACCGAAAGCTTCCGCCGCGACTGCGAGGCACCGCTTTCCCTGGCAGCGGCGGGCGCAAGTGCAGGCGCCTGCGCGGTCCCAGTCTGCGGGAAGGGCCTACACCTAAGGGGCCAGGAGGCACCGCCTCCACCCGGAATCCTAACCCAGTTCTGGGCCTGGCCTCATTCTACTACCACCACCACAACCCGCACCCCTCCCCGCACTTCCGCACGTTCATTACCCCGCAGGGCCGCATCCGCCTCCCAAGTTCACACCCCACCTCCTCGCACTAGGGACCTCCTCCAGGCCAGGCCATCCGGCTCCGTGCTGGGCATCCCTGTAAGCGGCCAGCAAAAGCCCTGAATGCGGCGCGTGCCAGTTTAGGGCTCTGGGAACTCATCGCTCTCAGCTTAACGGGAGCTACCTCTGGGAGCACCACAGTGGCTCCTCCAAGTGATGTAAAAACCTCTTCTCCCTTTCTAGACTCAGGGCAACGCTGTGCTCCAGCCAGTTCCCCTTCCTCTGAGATTTTGGGGTCTCCTGCTTTTACAGGTCTGTGTTACCCCGATTTCTGCACCCACTCACGCTACACGTTTCCTAGCGGTCAATTGCACCTACTCCCAACCTCTGAAAGAGGACTGCAATTACTTCCATTTTGTCTTTCAACTTTCTGATTAAGTTCTTTCTAGCTTATCTCTGAACTCAGGCCACCGAACCTATCCCCTCAAGCAATAGGGACTGCCCCCACGCCAGCAAGACCCGGTGTGATACAATGGTTGGTTTGACCTTCACTGCCTATCTGCAGTACCCACCGACCTGTGTCCCACATTTCCCTTATATAAACCTGGAAGTATTTTTGGCACTTTGAAGGCAGTCTTTGAGACGTTAGTCTGCTGTCTTCCCAGTGAAATAAATTCCTTTCTGGTTTCACTGCCACTCTTCTCTCTGCCTTTGGATTTTGTCAGCTGTGAATGGCCAAACCTGGTCTGTTTGGGACCCTCTGAGCCAAGTGTCCTTGCACCCCTGTGCCCCGGCTACACTTCAAGTTTACGCAATCAGCTGAATCTGTAAATCCAGACCTGTACTTCGGAAAACCCACATTTCCGATTTTTTTCAAGGAGAGAGGGAAGATAAGGTCGGGGAGACAGCTTCAGATCTGAACATGGAGACTTCAGAGTTTAGCGAGGGTGGTAAGTAACTTCTGATAACTCAGCCCAAGGCCTCACAGGGCTGTTCTCTCTCTCCGAGTGGACAGACTGCAAAGTTGCCTTTACAGGCTCCAGAAAAAAATGCATTTTGCTTGCTTGTGCTGTGTGGGCTATCATATCAACACCAAAACAACTTGGGGAGAAGGTTTTTACTGGTCAGCGCGGGTTTCCTTACTGCAAACTTTTTGTAAAATGTGCAGTTCAGATTGCACCATGGAACATACTCTAACAACAAATGAAACTGCAAAGAAATCTTAAACGTCATTTAGTAGATTTATTGTCAATATGCACAGTATTATTTTGAAAGTATTTGATGAAAAGTAGGACCAAAAAAAAAAAAAGTAGTTATGCTAATGTTGTTAGGAGCCCAAATTTTCAGTGTTAAAGAGACCAGGTGTAAATTGAAGGAAATTAAGGGAAAAGTCTGTAAAATTGAATTTGAATCGGAAGCCAGAAAATTGTATATTTATTGCAACTGCTTTTACTATTATACGATAACACTAAAACCATGTTTTTCCTCTTCTGGGTATGTTGGTTCTCCAGTATCTACGACTAACCTTTTTAAGAGTTCTTCCTGCAATAATGGCAGAGATTAGAGTATGCCCTGTGAAAATTAATAAAAGGAAATCTCCTTTAAAGAAAAAAAAAAAGAAAATCTCCTTTAGAAGAATGGAATTGGGAGGCCCTCAGGGTGAGCTCTCATGCCCTATCACTTATCAGTTACACATAGATCCAAGGGAAGAGAGGGACCTCGCACAGGGATACTGCTTGACTATTCCAGCAGGAGGAAGAAAGGCTTTTCTCCTGCCGTGGCAACAGCCCAGCCAATGAGAGACTGCAACAACTCAGTCAATGAAAAGCCATTGGCCCTACAAAGTTCTTGCTGGAACTGTCATGGCCACTATATACTTTGAACTCCCAGTCTACTCCAATGGACTTTCTATGTATAACTTCCCAACTTCCCCCTTTCCTCTATAAAAGATCATTCCTCTCTTCTGTGGGGGAATGCATCCTCTGGGTTGTGATTCTCTGCTATTCCCAAATAAACCCATTTTTGCTCGTAAAATAACTGGCAGTTTTGTTTTTTAAGGTTAATGTTACTTGGTGATCAGAAGTGGGATGCAAAGAAGATCCCTAACAACTCAGAGGCTGGTGAAGAAACATGTCAGCACCCACTGAGCCAACTGGGCGCCTACTGCTTTCTGGCTGACCCTGGAGTTTGAGGTAAGTTTTCTCCTAGACTTTGAGCTCCGTGCTTTGTGTTTGGATTCTCCAGGCTTTATTAGGATGTTTTAAAAGGCCTTGCTGTTTGTTTTTTTGTTTTTTTCTCTGAGAGTGCTCATTTGGCTTTTGGTCAGACTTCTTTTGGGGACTGTTCCTGTTCCTGTTGGAACTGTGCCTGTTGGACCAGCACTAGCCTTCCGTCAGACTCCTGTTTGGAACCAGACTGTTCCTATTGGAACTGTGCTCGCCTTTAGTCTGATTCCTTCTGGAACCAGGCTATTCCCGATGCAACTGTGCTGTTCAGGAATTTTTCTCTTTGCCCTAGAGAAAAACCTCTATAAAATGGGATCACAGTCATCAAAATGCTTTGAGGGTACTGCCCCCCTCCCCGCCCTTACTGGGACTCTGGCTGGCTTTGTGTTTAAAAACTATGGTCCCTCTGCCTACACAATTATAACTAAATGGACTGACTTAACCAAAAGTAATTTAGACCTCCAATGGCCATTATGGGGAACTTTTGATCTCTCTAAGCCTATTTTACTCAAAATTAAATTAGAAAGCCATGGCTCCTTAAAAGAAAAAAAAAAAAAAAGAATGGGATGCCTATTTTAAGTGTTACCGATACAGTAAGCAATTAGTTAGAAGTGAGCTGGAGGCTCACTTGGATGGTGACAAAGAGGTTACACACTAGAAGTCTTAGAAGGCTGGGGGCACAACATCCTGACTTTGTGGCTTCCAAGACCAACAGACCAAGAGCCACAGGTGCAGAGTATGCCCTCTCCTCTTCTACCTCTGCCTCAGGGTAACCTCTAGCGTCACTGTAATATATTTAGATGGTTACAAGCCCTGTAGGGGAAGAGGGCCATTACAGTTCCAGAGGAACCTTGTAGGGCCAAAACTACGCCTCCCAACCGGTAGGAGGCATCCCTTAGATGATGGGAAACAACCTCAGTCAGAGGTTGACCAATAACCTATGCAAACATAAAAAGAAAAGATGCCCCTAATCCCTGTGCAGTTGCTTCCTCTGGGCCTGCCCACGCTCCCTTCTTGACAGTGTCCTCTCCTTAATAAACGGCTTTGTGCCTGCTACCTTCCTCCCAGCTGTGTCTGAGTGCGGATCCTCACGTGAATCTTCCGTGGGGAATCCATTCACGTAACGGAGACTCTGCCACGGCTAACAGTACCTTGAGGCTCCCCAATATCTTCAGACCTCGCTTCTTCTAAACCTAGCTGTTCCAGAAGGACCTGTTTGAAAACAGCCCCCAAGGACAGTGTGGTTTACCTGGACTAGGAGAAAGCCTGGAAAAATCTTCCTTTTCTAACAAAGATGATTATCTGCCGCCCTGACACGCACACTGCCAGTCTTTTTTTTTTTTTTTAAGATTTTATTTATTTATTTATTTGAGAAAGAGAGGGAGAGCATGAGCGGGGGAAAGGCAAAGGGAGAGGAAGAGGGAGAGAGAGAAGCAGACTCCCCACTGAGTGGGGTGCGTGACGTGGGGCTCGATCCCAGGACCCTGAGATCATGACCTGAGCCGAAGGCAGACGCTTAACCGACTGAGCCACCCAGGCGCCCCTACCAGTCTTATTTCAAGCAATATTTCAGCAATTTGTGAATAATATTTCAGGGGCAGCACAACCCATAGAATCCCTTTATAATAGCACAGTGGTTCCCAAATTTGTGTGTACATTGGAGTCACTGCAGAACTACAAAAACACTTGATGCCTGTGTCCCACAGGCCTGGACTTAGGAATTTTGTAATAAAATTTTTGTTCAAGTTACTTAAACTAAAAAAAAAAGAGAGAGAGAGAAGAAAAGAATTCACCAATTTCTCCCAACCTCCATCTCTTGTAACCACCAATCTGTTCTGTTTATTTTAGTTTGTTTGTTTGTTTGTTTAGATTTCACATATAAGAGAGATCATACCGTATTTATCTTCTCCGTCTGACTTACTTCACTTAGCATAGCGTCCTTGAGGTCCATTCATGTTGTTGCAAATGGAAAGATTTCATTCTTTTTTTTTATGGTTGAATAATATTTATCCATTCATTCATCTATGGACATTTAGGTTGTTACCGTATCTTGGCTATTGTAAATAATGTTGCAGTGAACATGGGGGTGCAGATATCTATTCCAGTTGGTATTTTTGTTTTCTTTGCATAAATACCCAGAAGTGGAATTACTGGATCATATGGTAGTTCTATTTTTAATTTTTTGAGGAACCCCCATACTGTTTTCCATAGTGGTTGCACCAGTTTACATTCCCACCAGCAGTGCCCAGGGTTCTCTTTTCTCCACATCCTCACTCTTGTTATTAACACCTGCTGTTTCTTGTCTTTTGATGATAGCCATTCTGACAGGTGTGAGGTGATAGCTCATTGTGGTTTTGATTTGCATTTCCCTGATGATTAATGACCTGGAGCATCTTTTCTTGTACCTGTTGGCCATCTATATGTCTTCCTTAGAAAAATGCCTATTCAGGTCTCCTGCCCATTTTTAAA